TCATGAATGTGCATAAACTGGTAGACAATTTTTAGAGAAGGATGTAAATCTTGGTGCTAGTCTGAGTTTATACTTTCCAGTTTTTCCTTCTCTTTTACTCCCAGTGCCATTCAGCTTTATTTTACGTTTACCACAGAGTTAAGATTTCAAAATAATTACTTTTGTTTTGAGTCTTTCTCATACATTTAATTGTACTAATACAATTTTATTCAATATTCCATGCCATCACCATAATTCAAAGGCATACATTATTCATAATCTACCTTTTTCATGAACATGGGGCAATTGAAATTACCATGGCTCGATCATGTATACCTTGGACCTCAAAAAGACATCTTTACTCTTTAGCACTTTAATGAGTTCCTTCACAGAAATGCAATATATTATTTGGTTTCTTGATTGCTTCTCCCATGGGTGTTAGTTGTGGTTCTCTGTAAAATTAAATGCTTGATAACCTAAAACTCAGTTGAAGAGTACATTTCTCTTCTGTTCTTTGACCTATATTGTGTTGCTTAAGATGATGTTATCTCTCTTGTTTTTGCTCTACTAGTTTATTTACAAAACTCGAATACAAATGTGAACAAATTCTTTCAATTTCCCTCACCAACCCCCACCCTTCAAATTGTACAACCCAATGACTAATCCTCCTTTTCCCCTGCACATCCACATCCCTCTACTTCTAGCCTCTCTCACCCCTCCTGGATTCTTATACTCATTCTACAGTAATGGTTTTATACAATATTTATCAATTTATACATATATTTATACAGTTTATGTGACTGAGTTAGTTCACTCAGCATAGCACTCTCCAATCCCTCCCAAGTTAGGTAATAATTTACAAAGTTATTGCTCCTACATGCTGCATAGTATGCTGTGAATGTACCATAATTTCTCAATACGTTAGTTTGTGGTTGAACATTTGGGCTGTTTCCATGTTCTTGCCATGGTGAATAATGCTGCTATAAACATTGCTATACAAACCTCAATTTTGTGCCTCAGTTCTCATATTCTCAGGGTATATTTCATGTAGTGGAATATCTGGTTCATATGGAATTTCTATGTTCAGCTTTTTGAGGAAGCGCCAAACTGCCTTCCAGACTGGTTGTACCATTTTACAATCCTGCCAACAATGTATAAGAGTTCCTTTCTCGCCACATCCTCTCCAACAGCTATTACTTTCTGCCCTGTTAAACTTTGCCACTACTGCTGGAGTGAGATGTTACCTCATTGTGATTTTGATTTGCATCTCTCCTGCCAGTAATTTGGAGCATTTGTTCATGTGTCTGTTTGCCATTCAAATATCTTCCTCTGTAAAAATTCTTTCCATGTCTTTCGCCCATTTTGTAATTGGGTTATCTGTCTTTTTCTTGTGAAGGCCTAGGAGTATTCTGTAAACTTTTGTTATGAGACTTCTGTCTGAAATGGTATTACCAAATGTTGTTTTGTTTTGTTCCCAGTCTGTAAGTTTCCTTTTCACCCTGTTGGAAAAGGTTTTTAATGTGCACAGGGATTTAATCTTTAAAAGGTCCCATGCTTCAATTTTATCCTCTTTAGATTGTGCATTTCTGATGCAGTCTCTTTAAACCTTGGACTAGCACTTTTAAGCTTGATTCCAGTTTATCCCTTATGAATGTTATGGTTTGGGGCTATACTCCCAGGTCTCTAATCCACCTTGAGTTTACTTTTGTGTATGGTGTGAGATGTGAATCCTGTTTCAGCTTTCTGCAGGTAGCAGTCCAATTTTACCAGCACCATTTGTTGAAGAGGTTATCATTTCCCCATTTGATAGCTTTCATTTCCTTGTCAAATATCAGTTGACTATAGATAGCTGGATCTATTTATGGGTTCTCAATTCTGTTGCATTGGTCTATGTGCCTATCATTGCACCAGTACCATGCTGTTTTTTGGTTACCATTGCTGTGTTGTAGGTTTTGAGGTCAGGGTGTGCTATGCCCTGTTCATGGATAAGAAGACTCAATATTGTGAAAATGGCAATCCTACTAAAAGCAATCTATGTGTTCAATGCAATCCCAATCCAGATACCAAATTCATTTTTCAAAGACATTGAAAAGGAAATGATCAAATTTATTTGGATGTTATCTCTTTGACAGGGAGTTCTGGTGGCTTAGTGGTAAGGAGTTGTGTTCCCAACCCAGAGTCTGACAGTTTGAATCCACCATATGCTCTGTGGGAGAAAGATGGGCTGTCTCCTACTGTGTGATTTACAACCTCTAAAAACCTGCTGAGGGTCAGCTATGAGTCAGATCTAACTCAGTGGCACATAACAACAGCAATAACTCTCTGAAGTTTTAATATGATTCTGGATCCTTTATTATTTACTGTATATTTTTGAGGAAATTAATGTTAACTTCTCTTTATCTATGTTATTATTGTTATGTGTCCTTAAGTCTGAAATGACTTATATCTGACCTTCTAATGAGCCTTCAAAGGCTATAAATCACAGGTTAAGAGATTACTTATCTTTATTCCTATCCCAAGTATTAAACAGGTGGACTCGAACTGCCTGTCTTTTGGTGGGTAGCACAACTCTTTACTCACTAGGCATCAGAGCCTACTTCATTGCTGTTGTTGTTGATTGCTGTCAAGTTAAGCACGACTCATACAAACCCTATGAACAAAAGTCCTGAAGCTGTTCTCTAACTACTGTCATTTATCAAAGTTCATAGGGTTTTCAGAGGCATGTTGTTTAGGAAGTGGGTGCCACTCCTGCTTTGAAACCTGTTTTAAACTGGGAGCTCCTCCAAACAACGTCCACCATAGGTAACCGCTATAGCATTTGGTCTAGATTTCACATAAGTATAATTAAATAATATGGAATTCTCATTCTTTTGAATGTTAGCCAGTTTGTTATAATCCACACAGTTAAATGCCATTCCACAGTTAATAAAATACAAATAGGCACTCTTCTGTTATTCTGCACTTTCATCCAACATTCATCTGATATCAGCTGTATCGCTGGTGCCATGGACCCCTATGACACTAGATTGAACTTCTGGCAATCCTGTCACTGTACTGTTCTAGCCATTTTTTGATGACTGTCAGTGATATTCTGGTAACATGTGATATTAATGATACTGTTCAATAATTTTGAACATTCTATTTGATCACCTTTTTTGGAAAAGGAACAAATATGTATCTCTTGCAGTCAGCTGGCCAGGTAGCTATTGTCCTAATTTCCTACCTTTAGCTTGGAGCCATGCACAGCTGGGTTAGATATAAAGAGTTACCCTGCTGATCTAGTTGTATATGAGAAAGAAATAATGATATTTTTTTTAGTAATTTCCCATGCAACAACCTGGAATAGGAAGTAGTATGGACTCCTTTCAAAAGTCCGAGGATATATGATATTTCATAGTTACATTAGGTAACTAAAGTCCTAAAAATAAGTAAGCAAATAAAAACATTTAATCATAAGATTTTTTAAAAAATTAATAAGTAAAAATGAAAACTTCAGAGTTATGACTCACATATAATGAAAACAGAATAAAATATTAACTATTATTGTTAAAAGAAATACTAAAATACTTGTCATCTGTTTCCTCAAAACCTGAACATAGAAATTCCATATGACTGCACATATATGTTTATCACGGCTTTGTTCACAGTAGCAAAGAGTTGGAAACAACCCAAGTGCCCATCAAGAAAAGAATGGATAGAGAAACTGTGGTATATTCACTAATGGAATGCTGTTCAGCATTGAAAAACAAGGAACTCATGAAATATTATATAAAATGGGTGACCTTGAATGACTTGAAATCCAAGTTCTCTATAATCTTTCATTAAAATCTCAATTAAAAAAATTCCATATGGCCCAGCTATTTCTCTACTAGGAATACACTCCAAGGAAATTAGAACTGAGATACAAATGGATATTTGTAAAACAGTGTTCATAGCAGCATTTTTCACAATCACAAGAACATGGAAACAACCCAAATGTCCAACCACAATCAAATGGATGGAGGAATTGTGGTACATTCACATGATGGAATATTATACAGAACTCAGGAGCAACAATTTTGAAAATTATTGCAGAACTTGGAGGAGACTGGAGAGCATTATGCTGAGTAAACTCAGTCTCATAAGGACAAATACTGCAAAAGACAATTATTGTAAAAACAGAAGGATAACTAATAAAAGGGGGGGGGCGGAGGGAGTCCAAGAAGGGAAGGGATGGGAACAGAAGAATGAGGATGGACTAGGGGTATGTTCATAATAGGGTCGCACAATTTGGAGGAGACAGAAGAAGTGAAAAAGATACCTTGGGGTTCTAGAAAGATGGGGTAATGGTGGGTATAGTTCAATGGGGATTAATTTTATTAAATACAATAAATAGGAATGATTGAAACAATGTGAGTGTCAAACACTGTATACAAACTTTGTATGCAAATCAATATAAAATTTTAAAAAACACTCACTGTGGTTAAAGTTGTTGAAACTACTGACTTTAGAAAAACTCACTAAATAATATATGGTAATTTCATTGAAATTGAGTACATCTTTTAGCTAGTAAATTATTAAGAAATTATTTCTTTAAGAAATGCCAGTTGTAGGAATTATAAAGCAATTTTTTCTCAATGTCGCAGTTTGGTAATTGTGTTAAAATAAAGAATAATCTATGTCTATGCTCTTATCTTTGAAATATTTTATAATTCTATTCTATCCTCATTGCCATAGAGTCAAACCAATTCTTTTCATTGGATTTCCGAGGCTGTGGAGTGCATGAATGGAGAAAGATCATATTAGTCCCACTGGGCCTGAGTTGGATTAGAACTGCCAGAGAGGGATGGCCTGTGTACTAGCAATGCAATTCCCTACAGACTATGTCACCAAAGCTCTTTAAAATTGATGAAAAATGTGTTAATAAAATGATATTAAGTGAAAGAAAAGACTTCATTTGATCAGAACTACTAATTTTGAAAACACTTTTAATGTTTTTACAAAAATTATTGAATTGACTATGTTCTTATTTCTATCAATAGATTCAGAGAAGATGGAGAGGATATAGGATTCGGAAATACTGCTTCAGTTATTATTATCTGAAAGAGTATTTGAGAACTGTTACAAAGGCCAATGATGAAATGAGGTAAGCAGCAGACCAGGAGAAACTTTAGAAAGATTAGTCAATAAATGTCAGACATTACCATACTTAGAAATACATTTAAAGCAAAGTTGTATTATAGGCATAAATGTATCAATATAATGTTGTTATTTTTGTTTTTGTTGACAACTTGTAGCCAACTTATAGCTGACCGTCTGGAAGGTTTTTGGAGGCACTTAATTGCATAGGAGATTGCCTATCTTTACCTCACCTAGTGGCAGGTAGATTCAAACAGTGTACTCTTGAATTAGCAGAAATTCCTTACCACTAAGCCACAAGAATTCCCTGTAAAAGTTAGATGTATGACATTATATTGCTTTAATCCAAGTAATTGTTATATTTGTATATATGGTCAGCTATGTTTTTCCTATCTAGAATACTTTCATTCCAGTAAATTCATCATTATAAAAAATAAATTTGTAAAGAAAAGGATTCTATCAACAAAACTTGAAGTATTATAACATCCAGTTAATATTTTCAATAGCATATTTAATAGCAAGGAATTCAGAGAGAAGAAAAGAACATGAAACATTAGAAAGGGATACCTTTACTATTATTTTTCTGTTCATTCATTTGTTTGTTAAACATATAGGAATTCAGGTTATTAAATTATGGATTAATGGATTCAGGTTAATATATTTTGTATTATAGAGATTTACACAAAGTACAAAAATGTTGTTTACCATTGAGTTGGAACTGACCCAAGCTGACTCTCCAGCAGCTGTTCAGAGGTAGTTAATTTCTCAGGAGGAAATTGCCCAACCTTCTCTTATGGAGAAGCTGCAGCTGGTGGATTCGAACTGTGTGTCTTCAGAATTGCAGTGAAATTTCTTGCCACTATGTCACCATTGCATGATTATTCAGTCCCCTTTCCAAAGCTCTGTGTATTACTTTTTCATATTACCTGAGAATAGTTATTTTCTTCTGTTGTGATATAACCTGTTCTAACAAGGTACATGAACTTATGTCAACAATTAAATTAAAGTTAAGTAGGCCCCAGGAAAGATGGCATACCAATTGACATATTTCAACAAACACGTGGTGCCCTGGATGTGCTCACCAAGTTGTGTCAAGAAATCTGGAGGACAACCACCTGGCCAACTGACTGGAAGAGATCTATATTTGTTCCTATTCCAAAGAAAGGTGATCCAACAGAGTGTGGAAATTAATGAATAATATCATTGATATCACATGAAAGCAAGATTCTGCTGAAGAGTATCCAAAAATGACTGGAATAGCACATCAACAGAGAACTGCCAGATGTTCAGGCTGGATTTAGAAGAGGCCGTGTCACTAGGGATATTATAGCTCATGTCAGATGGATCTTACTGAAAGCAGAGAGTACCAGAGGAATGTCTATCTGTGTTTCATTGACAGAGATAAAGACATTTGACTGTGTGGATCAAAACAAATTGTGGATGGCTCTGAGAAGAATGGAGATCTCAGAACACTTGATCATGTTAATGCCAAAGCTATACTTGGACCAGAGTCATTTGTCATAACAGAGCAAGGAAAAACTCACTGCATGGTTGAAAATTGGGAAGGATATGCATCAAGGATATGTTCTATCTCCATAGCTTTTCAATCTATATGTGGAACACATTGTTTGGGAAGGTGGGTTCTATGAGGAGAAGTGTGGCACTCTTCAACAATCTGTATTATGCAGATGACTCAACCCTGCTTGCTGAAACTGAGGAGAACCTGAAGCACTTGTAGCAGAAGGTCAAGCACTGCAGCCTTCAATGTGGATTGAAGCTCAACATCAACAAAACAAAGATTCTCACCACTGGGCTGATGACAGCATCATGATAGATGGTGAGGAGATTGAGATTGTTAACAGCTTCAATTTGCTTGGCTCTACAATCAACACTCTTGATACCAGCAACCAGGAAATTAAAAGACAAATTGCATTGGGGAAACCTGCTGTCAGAGACATCTCCAAAGTACTAAAGAGCAATGAAGTCAGTCTGGAAACTAAGGCATGCCTGATACAGGCCATGGTTTTTGCAATCACTTTCTATGCATCAGTGAGCTGTACAGTGACTAGGGATGATAGAAAGAGAGTTAATGCCCTTGAGCTGTGTTGCTGGAGAAAAGTATTGAATATACCATGAACTGCTAGGAGAACAACAAATTCATCCTTGAAAGGGTGAAGCCAGCTTGCTCCTTGGAGGCAAGGATTCTGAAACTTTGACATACTTTGGACATGTTGCAAGGTGAGATCAGTCCTTGAAGAGGGATATCATGCTTGTGAGGGTAATGGGACAGCGCAGAAGAGGAAGACCCTCTATGAAATGGAGTGATTCAGTGACTGGGATAATGGGGTAGGTGTGTCAGAGACAATAAGATTGTCACAGGATAGAGCAGGGTTTAGGACTGTTGTACATAGGGTAACTATAAGTCACAGGCACTTAACAACTACAGTAATTAGTAATAAACAGCCCTGGTGCTGCAATGATTGAGTGTTTGGATGCTAACAGAAAGGTTGCATGGGTGAAAAGACATGATGATCTATGCCTGTAAAGATTCACTCATTTTCTCCTTTCTAGTTGATTCCTGGATCACTCTAGGTTTCTGAGTCTGTAAATCCCAACAGGAATAGACTATCCTTCTGTTTTCTTAAGAATCTTGGTGAACTTGAAGCAGAGATGCTTAGCTTTTGGGTTAATGGAGCACCTCATTCCAGAAAACCCCATCATATCTCTCCTCTATAAAGATTACAACTTAGAAAACTCGATGGATCAGTTCTTTCTACTCTGTCATGTTATTACTGAGTCAAAATCCACTTGAAGGCTCCTAATAGCAATAGTAGTTATTAATAACTCATTCAGTCACTCATTGCCTTCGAGTTGGAACTTACTCCTACGACCAGTCCAGTGGATTTTCAGGAGGCTGTAAATCACAGGGAAGGAGATTATCGGGCTTTCTCCTGCAGAGCTGCTGGTTGACTTGAACCACCAGAGAGGCTCTGCCCTTTGGTTGGCAGAGTACCTTTCTATCAATCAGCCACTAGAGAATTTACATAGTAGTTTCACCTTCAAAAATACATCTTGTGTTTGCTTCGGCAGCACATACACTAAAATTGGAATGATACGGAAAAGATTAGCATGGCCTCTGCACAAGAACAGCATGCAAAGAATATATCTATATATTTTACATATAAAATTCCATGGGCTCCAGAGATTAATTGGTAATAAATTATTAAAATGGAAGTTTTCCTCTATCACCCTAAAATTATACATAACATTGATAGAGAAAAAATAATTCCCCATCTCAAACTCCTTACATACATTGTGATTATAAAAGCATCTTATCTTTGGAGCTTAAATGGAGAGACTTTTTTGAAGTGATATCTTTAGCAAAAACACCGAAAGTTTGGGGAGCCTTCAATGGGATTTAGTCAGTGGGAAAAGTTGGAAAACTCTGAAACACATGAGTCATAGGGGACTGCTGTTTAATTTCTGCTGAGAAATCTAAAGTTCTGGAGATGGGCTCTCTGTCTTCCAGATGACAGACAGGCTTTAGCTCATCAGGGAAAAATAGCAGGTAGAATAGACAAGAGAGAAGGAATAGTAGCTGGGTTCTGTTAGGATGAGGTACTAAATTTAAGGAAGCATTCATGATCAAGGTCATACACGTGCTAACCTTGCCCTTTTATTTTGTTCAGTGTGAGTGTGTTCTTAAATTTAGCATTTTGGGGCATCCCTTGCTTCATCCAACTCCCATCTCTGTACATGAGAAAGTCTCTAAAGAGACAAATATGTATGTAGAAGAATAGTTTTGAAAAGGCCTTTTATTCAATCGATATTTTTACTAACCATTGCTTACTTCTTGAATTTAATATGAATGCCTCTAGTCACTACTGTTGTTGCTGTTAGTTGGTCGGTCAACTACAACTCATAGTGACTCTATGAGGAACAGATCTGCACCTTGACCCATCCTATGCCATCCTCATGATCTCTGATATAGCCAAGCACATAGTTACAATCACGGTGTCAATCCATCTTGTTGAGATTCTTCCTATCGATCCTTCTCCCTTTACCAGCATGATGTCTTTTTCAAGGACAGGTCCCCCCTGACAACATGCCCAAAGCATGTGAGAGAAAGTTTTACCAACCTTGCCTTTAAGGAGTGCCCTGGATACGCTTCCTCTAAGACAAAGTTGTTCATGCTTTTGGAAATTTGTGGGTTTATTTTATACTCTTAACATTGCAATTCAAAAGCATTGATTCTTCTGTTATCCTTATTGAATGCCCAACTTTTAGATGCACAGGAAGCAATTGAAAATGTCATGGCTTGTATCATGTGAACTAATATCCTTACTCTTTAGCACTTTGGAGAAGTCCTCAACAGCAGATTTTTCCAATGTAACTGAATCTTTTGATTTCTTGATTGTTGTTTCCATGTGTATTGATTGAAGTAAGATTCGAGTGAAATCATTGAAGATGTCTGTGTTTTCTCTGTTTATCATGATGCTACCGATGAGTCCAGTGGCATTTTTCTTTTCTTGATGTTGAGATGTAATCCATATTGAAAACGGTAGTCTCTGATCTTTGGCAGCAAGTGTTTCAGGTCCTTACTGTTTGCGAGCAAGGTTGTGACATATACATAACATAGTTTGACGATGAGACATCTTCCAATCCTAATGTCACATTCTTTTTTTTGGAGTCTAGTTTTGCATATTATTTGTTCAGCATGCAGACTGGATAGATAAGTAGTAAAGATATAGCCGTTATGCACATCTTTCCTGACTTTTAAACCATTCAGTGCTTGTTCGGTTTGGAAAAAAGCCTCTTATTCGTCTATGTGTTCGCTTCTCATTAGTTTAATTAAGTGTCCTGGGATTTCCATTCTTCTCACTGTTCTCACTATTATTCATAAATTGTTATGATCCACACAGCCAAGTGTCTTTATGTTTGTGTGTGTGTGTATATATATATATATATTCAATAAAACACAAGTAAACATCTTTCTGGTATACTCTG